AAGAGAGGTGACTAGACCTCAAATTACGGTGCTCCCAATCACTGATCAAGTGATCAAATTGGTTGAAGCCCATGCTGCTGAGGAAGGCGTTACAGATTTACGAACCTATTCCAGACGCAATGGAGAAGTAATTTTGGATGCTGCTCTGCTCGCAGGAGTGGACCCAGATGAACTGTGGGACGAAGACTATGTACCTGCAGATATTGAGATTCCACCGGTCAATGACATGAATTTGCGCAAGAACGATGCAATCACAGACGAAGAACTCGAAGAACTAATCGAGGATGCAGCCGAAGATATATTGGAATCTAGAAGAGTTGATGATAAGAGACAACATGAACATGATGAGGCAGATAGAACTGTCGACCGCATGCTGCAAAAAATTAAAAGACATCAAGAAGAAGACGATGAAGACGATATGGATTTCGTGCAGGATCAGCAACCTGAAAACGATATTGAGATGGATATCGATGATGAAGAGTTAAAAGATATGATTGATGAAGTAGCCCGTGAGTTGGATAGATTAAGCCAACCCATTGAAGAAGAAATAATGTTCAGCGTTGAAGATGAAGACGATGACAATGAGGGTGAATATGATGCGGAAGAAATAGAAGAACTGCAAAAAGCAGAAGACGAACCGCAAGTATATCCTGACGAGGAAGATGATGTTCGTGCAGGAGTGAGATTTGAAGAAGTCCCCGTGTTGAGTACAACAGATGATTCAAATAAAGACAAAAAAAGGAGAACACGAAGTGGACGATCATTTTATTCAAATGGAGTCAAGTATCGACCCATAGATAGGAATCGAACTGACAGACCAAGATATGGTCAAACGTACTTACAACGAAAGAAGCCCAAGATTAATTTGTTAAAGAACAGGAGTGCCATGAGAAAGAAGGCACGGTTGAAGAGATTGCGTATCTCATTGTACCAGGCTATCGCGTCAAAGGTAAAATCACAAAAGAAAGGAGAGTTTTGAGATGACAACGTGTTTTAAGCGCTGAAGCAAGAAGAAAGATAACCGAACGGGCGCATAACTTAATGTTCCAGCAGGGTGGAACTGAGAAGAAAGCGACTTACAATGTGGATGAGTCGTTTGTGATTTCACGCGTCATGCAACAGATTCGTGACGAAGTGTACACAAGGGATGGAGTGTCATTTATTCAGCAGTATTATCTTAACAAAGGATTAAAAAATTTCAAAGAACGAGGAAAAGAAGCTGCGCTCAAGGAACTTGATCAACTGATCAAACCAAGTTGTTGGACACCCATCAGTATTGGTGAATTGACTGAGTTCGAGAAGAGGAAAGCAGTTGATGCAATGATGTTGCTGGCAGAGAAAAACAGTGGTGATATCAAAGGTCGTTTTGTATATAAAGGAAATGAGACAAGAGACTGGCTGTCTCGAGAGGACACAGCTAGCCCGACCGCATCACATGAAGGTATCTGTTGCACAGGAGTGATTGACGCGCACGGAGGTAGATGCATGATGTCAATGGACATTCCGAACGCATTCATTCAGACCTTGATGCCAGATTTAGGTATGGTTAATGGCAAACAATTGACAATCAGGTTCCATGTTGATGACGTTTTGGCGAGTCACATGGAACAACAAGTACTTGAAGATTTTTTCACATGGGTGAATGAGAAATATGGTGGCTTAAAGGAGGTCACATGCACTAGAGGTAAAGTTCATACTTATTTGGGTATGACATTGGATTTTTCGAAGAAAGGAAAAATGAAAATTCGCATGGATGATTATGTGGATCGCATGCTGAGTGAGTTTCCAGTCAAGTTTAAGGACAATGAGGTCCAGGAGACACCAGCCGGCAATAATCTACTGGAGAAAGGTAAAGGGGCACCGCTTGAGAAGGAGCGACATGAAGCGTTCCATTCGTTTGTTGCCAAATCGTTATTTTTGTCAAAACGTGCTCGTCTGGACATCAGTCCAACAGTATCGATTTTAGCATCCAGGGTGCAATCTCCGAATCTGAGTGATTGGCACAAACTAGTTCGGTTGATGAGATACATCCATTCTACCAAAGGATGGCATCTGACATTGAGCGCTGATGATTTGCGCGTGATTAAATGGTATGTCAATGCATCATTTGCTGTTCATCCAGACTTCAAAAGTCATACTGGAGCTGTGATGACAATGGGCACTGGAGCAGTGCAAGCAATTACACAAAAGCAGAAATTGAACTGTGACAGCAGTACACATGCTGAACTAATTGGAGTCCATGATGCGATGTCAAATATTTTGTGGACACGCTTATTTATGGAAGAACAAGGTTACCCAATCGAGAAGAATATACTATACCAAGATAACAAGAGTTCGATCCTACTTGAAACGAATGGGAGATCGAGCGCCGGAAAAAGGAGCCGTGCGCTAAACATCCGGTATTTCTTTGTGACAGATCAAGTCGAATTGGGCAACATTACTATTGAACACATGCCAACTGATGAAATGTGGGCAGATTACATGACGAAGCCTTTACAGGGGGAAAAGTTTCGCAAGTTCCGGGCTGTAATTCAAGGTGACCAGGATTAGTCCTGATGAACAATCTTGAATATTTTACTCATATTGAGAAGTAATTTTTTTCGTTCCATCCGCTGGAGTCGCTGGTGAAACGACAGGAGTGTGTTGGAGGTATTGATATATTGAGCAATCATATTGGTCGATTATTGATCAATGGTTATGTGACGTGACGCGGCAGTGACGTGAGTGTCGATCATGCGTAATATGAAACGCAGTATGTCGGAACGCGTCATCACGTAGAAAGGTGATCAAGAATGAGAATCGTGAGAATTTGTAAATATGATCTTGAACTTCAATCGAGAGTCTCACTATCGATTGAGTTCTGGCAAGAATAGTATTGTGGACATTGAGGTCCAAACGAATATAGGAAATAATAAAGTAAGACCTTTGATTGAATAAGACTACTGCTTATTCCAGAGGCTGAGGCCCAGAGTCGCTGGTGCCCAAAGGCAGACCATAGCCGACGTAGATTCGATCTCAGGGATTGCTCATTGAAACAGATAGGGCGTTGAGGCACCCATTCAGGTCTGTAGAGCAAGTCCATCTGACACAACTACTATCCGGCAAAAGGTGGGTTGTCTGAATACTACAGCCCGCATATGATTATGCATCAACGAATGGTTGGTGCCTCTAAAGAATTTGTTGCTGAGATTGGTGCATATGTCCATGGATATGGCCATGATACCAAGAATAATATGGCTGCTCGAACGATCGAAGGTGTTTACATGGGACCCACCGACGATATTCAAGAAGGGCACCGTATATATGATCTGAAGACAAAGTGCAAGACACGATGTGCGAAGATCAAGGTTCTTCTGATGACTGACCAAGTCATCAAGATTATTGAAAAAGACGCAAGATTGGAAGGAGTGACGGAATTACGCACCTATTCCAAGCGTAATGGCGAGATAATCCTCAATGGTGATTTGCTCGAAGGAGTGGACCCAGATGAACTGTGGGATGAAAACTACGTACCAGTAAACGAAATCGAGAGACTGAGTGACGTAACCCTCCGAAATGAAAATATTCCAGATGACGAACTTGATGAATTACTAATGGATGCTGAAGCAAACATCATGGAAACGAGGTTCGACAGGGACAGGAACCCAAGATACGATAGCGAGGCAAATCAATATGAAGATGAGCTAGAGGACGAAATGTTCAATAGAATGTTGAAGAAGATTTAGGCAAGACAAGATGCTGAAGATCTGATGGACGAAGACTACTAAGAACACGAATGGATAACTGCCAATGAGGACATGGACTACGAAGACGAATACGAGTCTGAATTAGACAATGACGAAGCCAAGCAAATGTTAGACGAACTGGCAGCTGAGTTAGTGGAACTTGGAAGACCAGAGGAAGAAGAAGTTCTGCTCGACTTTGATGACGACACACAAGAAGATGTGGCAGTTGAATCAGAAGAGGAAGATGGTGTTGCTCGCACAGGAGTGAGATTCGCGGACACAGATGATAATGAGTCCGACACCGAAGGAATTGTGAGAAGTTACAGTGACAACGGTGTCGAGGTTGGAGCGAAAAGGGTACTTCGCCCAAGACACAATCGATCCTACTTCTCACAAGGGGTAAAAATGAGACGCACTGAGAGATACAGAAGAGAGAAATCAAGATTTGGGCAGGCATACCTACAAAGAAAGAATCCGCCTGTGCCAAACGTTTTGAGAAACAGGCGTGCAATGAGAAGAAAAGCACGAATGAAAAGACTCCGAGTCTCGTTGTATCAAGCGATCAAGAAAAGAATTGACACGCAAAGAAAGGGAGCACAGTTGCAAGGGAACCATAAGTACGAGCGCTCCATCCGAGAACACATGCACAATTTGGCATTCCAGCAAGTCGGAAACACAAACAAAGGCGAATATGACGCTGACGAAGCGTTGGTAGTCGCTCGTGTTATTCAACAGATACGTGATGGTGTCAACGGTGGTATCGATGGGCAAGACGGAGTCTCGTTCATTCAGCAATACAAAGGACTGAAGATATTCAAGGAGCGAGGTAAAGACGCGGCCATGAAAGAACTTGACCAACTGATCAAGCACAGTTGCTGGACACGGATCAGTATTGAGAAACTAAAACTGACCGAAAGAAAGAAGGCCGTAGATGCAATGATGCTACTGGCCGAAAAGAATGATGGCATAACGATCAAAGGTCGCTGCGTATTCAAAGGTAACGAGACCCGGGATTGGTTGTCTCGTGAGGACACTGCAAGTCCCACAGCTTCGCATGAAGCTATTATCTGCACGGGTGTAATTGATGCCCATGAAGGTAGAAACGTCATGTCAA